GGCACTGGAATGCTGCAACAGTCATCTAAGTGTGAAAACCAGTTGTACGTCACTTTTTTTAGTGCCATTATAAGTTAGAATGGTCATTAAATGAATGGTCATAACTTGAGGACTACCTGTACTATGTTGGATTGCTTCTCTCTTGGCTGACAGAAGTATAATCTACTAAATGCAGAATAAAGTAACGAGCAAAATGAGTGAGTGAAGTTACTGGATTCAGAGTGGCAAGACCTGGGTTTTCAGTCCATCCTCAATCAATGGGGTGACATGGCCTATTCATAGGGCTGGGTGCAGAATAGAGACTATATGTTGTATATAAAGTTGTCCCCTCAAATTCTTCCTCATGCTAACAAGGGATTTTAAAAATTGCAGTTTTCCGCATTTCTACATTACAGGGTCAAATATTTCATGCCTCATCTAACCTCTAAGCAAGACAGAAAGAGGAAGTACAACCCCTCACCTCGGCGAAAGATTGCATAATCCTCCCCTGAATCATAAGGGGATTTGTTTGGTTTACAACCTAAACATAAAATGTTTTACTAGTTTTATTGTATTTATTGGTGCACTCTTGAGCTTGGTGGGTTTCTTGCAGACATTTCATCACCAAACCAGTTAACATAATCAGTGCATCATCAGTGATTTTACAGTATTTTTTTGGATTTGATAGTTGTGAACGGCCCAGAAGTATTATGAGTCAGGTGGCGTACAAATTTAATAATTTTTATTTGATCTATTAATAGCAAATGGATGCTAACATTAGTATTTTACAAATTAGAAAAGTTACTTTTTATCTTTGATGCTTATGTGCAACAGCTCAGGAACTGGGCCACCCACTTTTTAATAATGGTTTTCATTTAGCTACAATGGGCTATATTCATTATTTTGCTATGATATACTTCATACTTTATATAATTTTTTTAATCATCAGGTTTTGGCAACATGTTAACCAAAACGTGTTGCAAACACGGTACAAGAAATCAGGAACCAGGATTGTTCAAATGAGTACAGGTTTAATTAATGCTAGCTCATTACAAAAATCTGGACTACTAACAGTCTAATGAGTCAAAAAGAGGGCTGTGAAAATATATACAGACCCCTCACTTTCCGGACACAAACTGTTTCAACTCCTACCCTCAAAACTAAAGAGCACTACACACCAGAACAACTAGACACAAGGACTGTTTTCCCCCAAACGCCATCACTCTGCTAAATAAATAATTCCCTCAACACTGTTCAACTATTTACAAAGTCTGCACTGCTATTACTATTAATCTTCTCATCACTCATCCCCTCCCACTTGTGACTGTGTGACTGTAACTTTGTCTCTTGTATCCTTACGATTTATATTTTCCTAATATGATTTGATTGCTTATTGTACCCTAGGACTATCATTAAATGTTGTACCTTATGATTTTTGACTCTTGACGAATGTATCTTTTCTTTTATGTATACTGAGAGCATGTATACTTTATGTATACTTTTATGTATACTGCACCAAGACAAATTCCTTGTGTGTTCAGTCAGACTTGGCCAATAAAGAATTCTAATTCTAATTCTAAAGCAAAATGTCAGTAGATAAGAGTCAATGGAATCAAGGAAGGCTGGACATAAATCTCTTTGTGGGACTGAAGTGGGTCCAAACTAATGACGTATTTGACGCCTCCCTGTGACTTAGCTCAGTGGTCGCCAACCAGTAGGCCAGGGACCACTGGTGGTCCACGAAAAAATGTTGTTGGTCTGCAGAGAAATATCACTACCAAAGCACATACCCCAAAGCAATCAATTCAGGCTGCATGGGAACACAAGGCTAGCATCACTTGCATTGTGAACAATATGAGGTAGTGAGAGAGGGGAAAGGGCGGAGGGGGGGGAACTTGCCACACTCACCGCACATGCCTGGCCTGGCCACTGGGCTGCTTCTTTCTTCTGCTTTTGGCTTCATGCAAGGAAAGCAGAAAAGGTCTTTCTTTCTCTCCCCCAAACTCCGCCAGAAATAAGTCTTTTGGACCCTGCAAGACAACCTGCTCCAAGAGGCTGCATGGCGTGACAAGTCTCACAAAGCCTCATTTCTGGCAGAATTTGGAGGAGAGAAAGAAAGACTTCTGCTGCTTTTGCTGCTTTCCTTGCATGAAGCCAAAAGTCTCTCTCTATCTCCCCTCCTCCCCTGAGAACAGAGCTGGAGATGGTATCCTGCAGTCCCAAATAAAGAATGATCGATCGGTAGGAAAACAGAGTGGGGAATTTTCCTGCAGATTTTTGGGGGGATTTTCCCAGGGTCTCTGGTCCATGGGATTTAAAATTATGAGTTTGATGGTCCCTGATGTCCAAAAGGTTGGTGATCCCTGGCCTTAGCCTGATCATTTCCTATATATTGTTAACTGTGGATGAGTTAGATTGTACATACCTAGCTAACTCAATTTTATAAATGTGGTTCTATTGCCCAAAAAATTGTCTTGTAAACCTAATTCTCCTTATAAGGACATTTTCTTTCAGGCTTCCTAATGTTACACCAGGCGCCAGGTTTTGACGTTCCTTGCTAGCACTGGTGAACTCTGAACAGGATCCATACCCAACATGGTGTCTGCCATGACTTATTTAAGTGGGATCTTGTCTCAACCCCTCAGTGTGACTGTGGTGTTCCTTGACAAAATATCCATCACATTGTGTCTGAATATCCATCAAGAGCTTACATCAGCCCAATATCTTATTTTTTGTCAACATAAATCACCCTGTCCTTGAATGACTGGGTGGACTGGACATTTACATTTGAACCACTATAAGTCCATATATTTGCCATATGCTAAATAAAACTGTTATACTAAGAAAATATACTAAGAAAATATATGAAAAAATTAATTTTCCTTAATATGGTACCATGATACATACAATTACAGTTGTATTCTACTGATAAGAGTTTCATACTAGGAAGTGCTGATTTTTCACTTAACTACTTTCAAAATAGTATATTTCTTTTCCTCTTTTTTTTTCTTTGTTTCCCCTTTCTCATTTTCTTTAATCCATGTTAAAAAAGAAAAGCTCCAAGAAAACAGATGCCTCTAGTTGAATTACTTGATACCTTAGTACTCAACTGCTTTGAAACTCATCGAATTTGGTACTCATCGCATCTCCTGGAACCAATTAATGATGAGTATCAAGGTACCAGTGTATAATCCTGAAAAAATATTGAAACTTTACCTACTGCAACCAACCAATTATGTACTGAATTTCACACTGTTTATAGCTGATAATAGTAGTTGAAACACAGCATAGTTAGGCTGTAACAATAGATACTGCCACTGGGTGGTAGCAGAGAAGTTATCTTTATCTCACTGCTACCCTCTAACATTTGTTGAGTTGTTTGCAACCCAGATCTGAGAGTCTTTCATATCTCCTAATCCAGAGGTGTCAACCTCAAGGCCCATGGGCCGGATCCAGCCGCAGGGTGCTTAGATCTGGCTCGCGGGGCTACCCTGGAAATGGCGAAGGTGTTTCTGCCAGCGGTGACTGCCAGTGAAAACGGAGCTCAGGAGAACTGTGCACTTTCAGCTGCAATGGCTTCCTGCAACCCTCTGCCAGTGAAAATGAAGTTCAGCCCTCCTGAGCTCAGTTTTTGCTGGCACAGCACTTGGGCCACTACAGGCACCCCAACACAAGTGACACTGAGCTGGCCACACCCGCCTGGCCCTCCAAGGTCAAACACAACCCCAATGCAGCCCTCAGTGAAATAGAGTTTGACATCCCTGCCCTAATCTGAAGGACTTGAAGTGGAAGATCGTTGAAGGTTCTCTTAGGTGGAACCACATTTACCCGGAATGAATATAAGGAGAGCAATATAAATCTGATTCACATGTCATGCTAAGCCATAGCTAATTAAACAGGCACAGGTAGTCCACAATTTACAATTAATTTAGTGACTGCTCAAAGTTACAACAGCACTAAAGAAAGTGACTTTTGACCATTTTTCACACTTGCAATTATTGTAGCATCCTTGTGGGTCACACCAAAATTCAGACGCTTGGCAACTGACTGATATTTATGAGAGTTGAAATGTCTCGGAGTCATTTGATCACTTTTTGCGACCTTCTGACAAGCAAAGTCAATGGGGAACCACATTCACTTAACTGTGTTACTAGTTGAACAACTATGGTGATTCATTTAACAAATATGGCAAGAAAAGTTGTAAAATGCAGCAAAATTCACTTAACAACTGCCTCTGCAACAGAAATGTTGGGCTCAGTTGTGGTCATAAGTGGAGGGCCACGTATACACCCTACTGTAAACCACCAGCAAGCGAGCAAGCAACATTCACCACTTTGTAACACCTTGGTCAGACCACACTTGGAATTTTTTGTTGCCACGATGTAAAAAAGATTCTCCAGAGACTCCAGAAAGACTGCAGAGAAGAGCAACAACAATGATCAGGGGGCTTGAGGCGAAAACATATAAAGAACAGTTGCTGGAATTGTGTATGTCTAGTTTAATGAAAAGAAGAACTAAGGGAGACATGATAGGAGTGTTTCAATGTCTCAAGGATTGCCACAAAGAAGAGGGCGGCAGGTGGGGTGTCAAGCTATTCCTCAAAGCATCTGAATAGGAAGCAATTGATGGAAACTAATCAAGGAGAAATGCAATCTAGAACTGAGGAGAAATTTCCTGATAGTAACAATCAATGGAAGGACTTGCCTCTAAAAGTTGTGGGGACTCCACAACCCTGAAATTTTTAAGAAGAGATTGGGCAAGGTTTCCTGCCTGAGCAGAAGGTTGGAGTAAAAGTCCTCGAAGGTTCCTTCCAACTCTTACTATATTCTTCTTGTAGTGGCAACGGGCTCTTTCTACATCCTGCCCCTTAGCAAACTTCAAATGTAGGACCCGGATCGCCTCCCCCTCCGCCTTTGAAAAACAGGAGCAAGTACGACTGGAAAGGACGCGCCTCCCCATAGCGCGAGGTAGGAGCAGCGATTGGGCCTGGTTCCGCCTCGCCCCTTCCCGCCCTGAGGGTTGGCTGATGCAACGTGGCCACGCTTGCAAATAGCTCGAGAGTCTGGATTTGGGCTCCTCGTGTCACGGTGAAGCCGATACATCTGGAATCACAGGAGCGGGTAAGGAGAACCAGGGCAAGGTGGGCAGAAGCTCCTCGGGGTTAGAGGCTGTGAACGAAGGAGAAGAAACGCCGAGGGAGAAGTTATCTTGCTCGCGGATCCCGTCGCTGGAGCAGCTTCAGGATTAGAAAGCGAAGGCTTGCAAAGATAACGCTCATTTTCCCTTCCCAGCCCATTTGTTTACAGTATCTCTATTGCCGATTGCTTCACCTGTTGGAGTTCGATCTGCTACCTGGCCAAAATGCTGATGGGAGCCATAAATAGAATAAAACGATGGGTACCGAGGCGAAGGAGCTCTGAATAGCTCCCAATTTAGGAAATGGGGTGGGGCTTCTACGGCGTAAAGTGTGAGGCAGAGGGATTGCAATATGAATTTATTAAATGGTGTGTACTGTATAGGCTTTTCATGAGATTTAGAGTTAAAGCATGTTTTATTTATCCAGTTTCAATTCTAGCTTTCTGCCGTTGGAACACCGTAACTCGGGTATCGAAATTCACTTGTAGAATTATTGATGTCATAATTAAAGCCACACAGCATCCATCTGTTTTGCTGCAGAGGTAATCCGGGATGTTATGCTTTCCTTTCCGAAGGAATGTTTAGGAATAGCCTTTGCCCTATCTAACACTTGCAGGTTTGTTATGACATTTTTTGGAATTTTGGTGGTTGCAAAATTTGCCAGTCAATAAGATGCAAATGTTTTCCCCCTTCTGAACACATACAGAATAAGACATTGATCTGTTAAATAGTCTTGCCTAAGGTACAGCGAAGGGTTGGCCTTAGGTAGCAGATGGTGAGGTGCTCCAGGTTCACAAAAACAGGTATTCTTCAATACAAAACCACAATTCAGCCAAAAACATCTGTTACTAAGCAAGACAGTTAAGTGAGTTTTGCACCATTTTACCACCTTGTCATAGTCGTTGAGTGAATCATTGCAGTTAAGTCAGTAGCACAATTGTTAAATGAATCTGGCTTCCCCTTTGACTTTGCTTGTCTGAAGGTTGTAAAAGGTGATCACATGTCCCAGGGACACTGCAACCTTCATAAATTTGAAGCACTTGCTAAGCACCTAAAGTTTGATCACACAACAGTTGTAAGTGTGAAAAAAAGTCTAAAAGACACATTTTCAGTGCTGTTGTAACTTTGGTCACTAAATGAATGGTTGTAAGTTGGGTATGCATGTGAAGTTGAGATATCGTTCTCCTCACCAGGGATGAATGTGTATTATTGCTGGTGATAAAGATAGTATGTATGGTGCATTCAGGATCAAAAAGAAATGCTTGTCTATCACAGTTCATCCATGGGGTGAAAAAAAGCTTTGGGGTTGGCTTTTTTAAAAAAATGCTATTATTTAGTGGCCACTTTTATTGCTTGTTCGTCACTGAAATAGAATCTTAGTTAGCCTTCTCAAGTGATAACACATATAAACACATATACTGGGCATCCACATTTACACCCTTAGCACTGGAATTGTGCCTTCAGAAATTCTGAAATTATGTCAGAAGATTTTAAGGCTTGTAAAAACATTGGTGGTGATGGGGAGCAGGTTTTTTTTATTTTTTAAACCAATTAGGGTTGTGCAGACAAAATGAAAACATCAAAACCTGCTCTAGATTTTGTTCCTGATCCTGCAAGTTCTCAGTTGGCAAAATGTCTGTGGAGAATCTCAATCATCCAGGTCAGAGTTGTCTCAAAGATGGTTTTTTTTCCCTTCAAAGGACAACTGGACTGTTTTTTCCTTGAGGTAGAAGAAAACATTTCCCTTCTCATCCAACAAGCTTCATTAGTTCAGGAAGAAGAAGAACTGATGAGCTTCATCGAACTGATAAAGCTTCTTGGATGTGAAGCGAAATGTTTTCTTCTTCCTCAAGGAAAAAACAGTCCAGTTGTCCTTTGAAGGAAAAAAAACACCTTTGAGGTTCTCAATTGGCAATTGTACTGTGAAGGTTCAGAACCCCAGAGAGGGAGAGGGAGAAATTTTGTGTGTGTGTGTATTAAAAAGTATTAAAATTAAGATGTATATTTCTTGGCTGTAACTTTAGAGAAATAATTATGTTCACGAAGATGAACCCATGGTTTGAAAATGCCTGTCTTCACTATCTAAATAAAACATGATACAAAAAAAAAGATGTTGAGTCTGGAAAGTGTGCAGAAAAGAGCAACAAAGGTGATTGGGGAACTGGAGGTGGAAACATACCATGAATGGTTGCAAGAAATGTGTATGTTTAGTCTAACAAAGAGGGGGACTAGGGATGACATGGTAACAGTATTTCAATATTTGAGAGGCTGTCCCAAAGAAGTGGGGGCAATCTATTCTCCAAAGCACCTGAGGGCAGAACAAGAAATATTGGATGGAAACTTACCAAGGAGAGATCTAGCCTAGAATTGAGGAAAAATTTCCTGACAGAGCAATCAGTGGAGTGACTGGCTTTCAGAAGTTGTGGGTGCTCCTTTAAGCTTTGAATAAGAGATTGGATATAGACATTTCTCAGGAATGGTATAGAATCTGTTTGGACTAGAAGACTTCCAAGGTCCCTTCCGATCGTTATTTTGTATTTTATATATTAATAGGTGGTCCTGTACACATACCCTATACATTATTATAACAACTATATGTAGCAGTGAAGCTATATTTGGAATTGGGTGCAAACAGTGATGTTTGGGTGGGAGGATCAAAGTCGGTCAGCCCTTATAAAGGAGATTTATATGTCACAGATGCCCATAGATTCAGGGATATGCTTGAACCAAACATACAGAGTTGGAAAGGTTATCAATAGCTCATTCTAGAAGTATCTTTTAAATAAAACTCTTTTGTAGGGCTAAATTTGGGTTGTTCCTTTGATGGTAAAGGAATTTATTTCCGGTACAGATTTTCTGTGTCACAAAACTATTACACAACAATTGTTTAACATTAACAGCTGCCAAATATACTTCCTACCTAAAATATGCTGTTGGAATGGGAGTGGGGTGTATGTGAATTTGGAATAATTCACTATGGATTTAGATAGATGGAAATCTGAGTTTAAGATAACAATCTTGGTTAGCTTTAACCTTAGAAAAATGAGTTAATAAAGACATTGATTCAGTTAATCATAGGGACATGTATTTGCAAATACAGCCTTAAGTTGGAATGTTGGTATGAGTGCTTGTGTGAGGGAAAAAGTCTGGGAAATCAATGTATGAGGACTCAATAATATTTAGACACAAGCAATTGTAGTGTGTGGCTTAGGGTTAAGGGTGGAGTAATTTTTATTCCAAAGGAATAACATGTGTCTATGATGGTGATAAGAGTTTAGGAGGATTTTTTTTTTTCATAGTGAAGAAGGGAGCTGGTTTAGAGACACTTCCATGGAAAACTCTGGCAAGAGGAACTCATTCCAGAAGCAGTGTATGCTGTAATAAAATTCAACCCCAATCAGGAATTCCCTTGCAGCATCTGTTTCAACAGCATTAACTATTATGGTTATACTCTTGCGACATTCTTATTCATGATGAACACCTGTGTCTTCTGGTGTTATTAGACCCTGTGGGTAAGCTCTCAGTGACTGCCTTTGCATAACATAACAATTTAATTTCACATTAAAACAGAAATCAGGCACATTGGCTGGGGTCACACAACAGCCTAGGGATTGAATACATTGCTGCCTTTTGTATAGGAAATATGTATAAACACATAGTGCTATTTCCTCTTGTCTTTCCTCATAACAACTCTGTGAGAAAGGCTGGGTTTATTCATTTTATTTCAGAAAAGTGACTGCTTTATGTCAGCTAATCTTAAATAAATACACTTGGGTGGGAATATGATCAGTATTAAACAACACAGAGTTAGGTTAGGGTTTTTTTTTTAAAAAAAAGGACTGGCCTGAAGTGATTCAATAACAAAATATTTGAAAAAAAGATTAAAAAAAGATCTCAGTTGTTACGAATTGACTAAACACAGCCAAAAAATTTAGGTGCAAATTTTCCCTTGTGCCAAATAACTGCATTTTTTGAAACTGATGGGATTTCATATACAATGTCCTTGTTTAAACATGCCACTAATTTATTAATTATTGCCTACCCTGGACCACAAAGGGATTAATACCCATATTTTAGATGTGTGTTGTGGGAACCCTGATTGTAAGGTTAGTTCATATACGGTGCATTGAATAAACTATAAAAAATAAGTTGAGTAAATTACATTACGGTTAACCCTGGCAAAATACTATGCCGTACAAATACAGCCCAAAACTGTTTTTTTTACAATGTTGCTGAGCATGCAGTGCCCTATATTCTATAATAATTTAATAAATAATTGTTTAACTACACGTGGGTTAGCATACTGCCTCAACACAGACTTACTTGCTAGTGAGTCCCCCCATAAGTGTGTCTAAGATTCCACAATATGGAAATGATTTTCTGTGGACTTCGTATATTTTTTTTTCCTTGCCTAACTCTGAGAAGTCTGGATAGCATTTCATTCATGTTCTGATCTAGTTAAACTCTCCTTAATTTTTCCAGACTTATACAAGACCACCTGTTGTGGCACCGACCAAGAGATCTGGTCAAAAGTACTCACACAGCAGCAAAACTGAAGATAATTGCTTATAAAGTTAAGCTGAGTTTACGATTAGCTGGTAAAGGAAATAAACTCCAGATAGTCCTTAACTTAAAACCATTTGTTTAACGACTGATCAAAGTTACAGCTGCACTGAAAAATTTATGACCAGTCCTTACATTTGTAACCATTGCAACATCTCCCGATTACATGATCAAAATTCAGGTGCTTGGCGACCATCACATATTTCCAACTATTACAACATCCCAGAGTTATGTGATCACCATCTGTGATCTTCCCAAATGGCTTCTGACAAGCAAAGTCAGTGGGAGAAGCTGAATTCGCTTAATGAGTGACCACATTTATGAAACCAGGAGGAAAACAAAACTGATTATGAGAAAGGCCAATCTAAATCAAAATAATTTTAATTTAACATACGTGCTTTGTACTTTTTGTAATGTACAT